CTAACTGTAGCTAAATGCATTTAGCTACTGTTAGCTAAATGCATTTAGCTACTCAAACAATATTTTGGCTTTTTCCTCAGTCATTTACACTAAATGTTGACCTCTAAATCGTCTCAGCTCTGATCAACTGGCTCTGTGTGTTTAGAAGCTGCCGTTGTAAATTAAGATGTATTGCTATTCAACTGGTGGTCCGCAGGCCAAATCAGGGCACACGGGTGAGCTCAGTTCGGCCCACCAATGGGTTCACTTTTAAATAAAACTAGATTTTAAACCAGAAAACAAACTTACTTAATGACAGTAACTGCTGGATGTCCAGTTGAATAATCCTGATGTAGCTGCTTAACACAATCTTTATTTTTAAACAGTTGGCTTTCTGAGACCATTGATGGTTTGGTTTTTAATCCCTCCTTTAGGCTCAGAATTCTAACGTTTTTTTCTTGAAACAAAACGGTTCCTGTTTTTTTTTTTGTTTGTTTGTTTGTTTTCTGTGTGGCCCATCATAACCAAGAAGGAAAACTCTGCCCCTCAGTTTTATCTTCCTTGACTGTTTACAGCCTGTAAAATCACTGTGAGGTGAGGAAACCTCATCCCAGATTTAATTATATATTTTTTCTCAAACGTCTGCAAATTGACGCTAGAATAAATCCCGTGTGTAGACGGAGACGCTTTAATTTAACTTTTAATTTGAAACCAGAAACAAAAACAAATTACGTCGGGGTGGATTTTTCCTTCGGCAGCGTCGCGTTTTCTTTAACATTAACGGCTGTATTGTTGTTTTTTACTGCAGTTCTAGCTTTAGGGCGACTAACCAACCTCAGTCCAGATCATGAAAACAAACACTAACTTGATGAAAGCGTTTCTTGCATTTCGAGGCCTTTTTGTTCGTTTTTTTTTCTTGTTGATGTAAATTATTTATGTACAGTACTCCATATTTATTTTTAAGCTTTACAAATATGCTAGATGGCAATAATACTACCAAGAGTTGAGAACTAAAGCCTTATATGTGTGTATATGTTTGTTTTTATCATGTATTCTGACTCCATCACAAATGTCATATTACGGTTTTATTTAAGAAGTGATTATCTGTTGTTTTTTTTTTATTTTACGATGAGGCTCTCTGATCTGTTTTTGTTAGACTGTGTCGTAGGAGGTTTTTCTGGGAAAGGATCGCGGTATTTATGAAAAAGGTTTTTTTTAACACTATGAAACTGCAACTTGTCGCTACATCGGACTGACCGTATCAGAAACTTTGGATCAAGCAAATCAATAAATCACTACCGAATTATCAAGTGCAATAATCCGAGAAAGATCAACAGCTTCTGATTTCTCTAACTTTATTTTGTCACTGTTTTTCTCCGTTAATGTGCTGAAATAACCTGATGCTTTAATGTCCTCATCGGTGCGTTTACAGACCATCTCCCTGCTCTGCGGACGTTGAAGACGAGTTGCTGACTCAGAACCGGACACGGATGAATTTACGAGACAAGCAGTCGTGGCGTACGAGCGGACCGTTGTTGGAAGAGGAGCTGTTTTTTGCGTGCACAGTTTACAAGACCGTATGCGCAGTCGTGCAAATGATTTGGTTACGTACTCCGCACGCGTTGAATCGATCTGGACATTTAAAGGTACTACATGTGAGCTATGAAACGAAGCACTCGACTAAATCGGCCAAAAGCCACATAAACGTTTATCCGGATACTTTGCTCAACAAGTCTGAGCCGAAATACGAACCGAAACGTGAAAATTGTCCCAAATGGCTCCGTTGTTGACCTATTTTCACTCGCTTCAGCTGTTTCTGTAAGTCAGGGGTGTCCAAACATTTTCATATGTAGGCCGCAACTTTGAAGATGAAAGGCGTCATGAGGCACAATAACGTGAATAAAAACATATACAGAAGTCCCTCGCTAATTCACGGTTCGTTATTCGCGGACTCGCTCTATCGCGGTTTTTCAAAGTAAGATTGGACATGACACACAATTGGCTGTTTAATGGATGAGCCGCACGATCGGCACAATTTTTTATATAAAATTAATTATTTTAATTTATTTAGCACCTGCTGCACCTCTGTGCAGCCCACACTGCAGGATAAACTTCCTCCTGCAGCTGATCTCCGTGCAGTGCGGAGAAGTGGGCGTGGCCGAGAGCACTTGCAGGTGGCAGAGTGCAGCTCTCTTAGAGCTTTAGAGTAAAGAAACATTGTTTAGAATATTGCAAGTGTGGGA